TCCCCAAGCATGGTATCGAGGTCCGACAGTGCGACCTTGGACCGATCCTGCTCCACCTGGCGGTAGTAAAGCCCCACTGCGGCCCATGCTCTGCGGACCCTTGCTGTCATCAGCAGGGCCTTGTCTCCCAGGCCTAACTTGGCTACCCATGTCTCGATTGCCTGTTCTGAGGCCCAAAGGAACCGAAACTCTTGCAAGCTCTCCACCCCCAGACGGAGAAGGGCCTCCACTACCCCATCATCCAATAAGAAGTTGTCACCCAACTTCCTAAGGACTTCTTCGGGGGAACCCTTTTCCAGGGGGACTTTATCAGTCTCCATGGCCTGATCTTGAGGACACCCCTCTAGCTAAGGCCCAGGGATCCCTCCCTTTGACTGAAAACTGCGCCTCGGGTCTCCCCCGTGCAGTGTGCTCGAACGGCCTGACATGACAGATAGGATGCTGTTTCAGCAAAAACTAGAATACAAAACATGCATCAGATTTGAAAAGACAACAGAGGCATCGCATGAACTCACCTTCATGGAGTCACCTGATGATGTCAAATATTCCGCTGGAGTCCCCCTCCTGCTTGTCCGACATGCCAGTACAAAAAAAAAATGAAAAAGAAATGAGTCACTCATGAAAAGTGCGGTTAACACAGTGGACCCCCCACTGTAACCTAGCAGCTCTGATTTTTCAAACGCACTCGATGTCACTGCTGGGGGCGGTCATGCAGGCTGGATGTAAGCTCTTATCCAAGCCCCGAGCTGATGAATTCGGCTCTCCATGGCCGGAACGGGCCTATGCAGCTAGATCAGCGCAAAGGCCAAAAATTCGGCTTGGTCGATCAGGCCGGTGGCCACCATGATGCCGGTGCTCGTCGGAGGCACTGGTCACACCAGGGACGCTCCCAGGCCAGGGCCTCATAGATGTCCGTGGACATGTACGGGTTCACCAGGCGCTTCGCCTTCCCGTCAGCCTGCTTGTGCTGGCACAAGGTGATGCCATCCTCGACCGTGACATGTGTGCTGGAACGCTCTGTGGCTGCATACCCCTGGGGTTCAGGATGCTGTGTCCCCACGGCTGTGTCCTGGAAGGTCTTGTGCAGCCACTTCTTCATGCCTTGGTCCTTGATCACCTTGTAAAGCTCTGTGTCCCGGCGACTCTCCACGAAGTTGTTGGCCGCCTCAATGGACTCGCCTTCCAGCAAGGCTCGGCAGAGAATGCCTAGATAGGCACCACGGTGTCTCCCTTTGATGCAGTGCACTAGGACATTGTCACCGTGCCAGACCGTGTTCTTCACAGCTGGCCACACATCTGTCCATTGCTCATTGCGCTCCTGGCTGTAAGCCGCCGCAAAGGTCATCAGCTGAGCTCCCGGGAGGGTCACCCCCCCCGGCTCTCAGGACCATGCGGGAAGCAGCAAATCTGCAGCGCCGTCTTGGGGAACTTATCCATGGTCTGCTGCATTGGAAGTCCCGCCAAGTAGAGGCCACCTCCTTTCCGTGACTGCCAGATGCATGTTGGAGCCTGGGCTGTCCCTGAGCCAACACCCAACCTTTCGAGGTGCATGTCCAAGGTCTCACCTGCCGCCTTCCCACGGCCTTTCTTGGGCATGGCCTTGATCTGTGGCTTTCCAGGGGCTGCCATGCGCTTGGGAGTTGTGGCTGTCGCCATTGGCTTGGGGGTGGTAGCCGTAGCCTTTGGAGGCGTCTTCGGGGCTGCAATCGCCGGCGCCTTAGGCGGTGTCTTCGGTGCAGCGCTGCCTCGGGCTCTCTTAACGGCTGATCGCATCGCCTCTGCTACCTCATCATCGGTTGCTCCACTTGCCCCGGTCCTCTTTCTGCCGAACTGAGCCTTCGCTCCAACGGCTGCCGGCACCAAGGATGCCGAAGGCTTGGGGGCTGCCGGGACTGCGGTCTCAGCTAGCACTGCGCGCTTGATGCGGCACACACCAGCGCCGTGTTTGCCACCGCATGCCCGTCCCGATTTTTGTAAGACGGCACATAAGTGCACTCCGAAGGGACAGGAGTCTGCTTCGTTCGGGCACGAATCCGTCTGGTAGTCTGGGCAGATGGCCTTGCCGTTCTTCAGGGTGGCTGTCAAAACTTTCCCCTGAAGGTGGTCCGGCATTTGGGGGGCCGGTGCCGCTTCTGCCTCCTGGCGGGCTTGTTGCGCGGCTTCAACAAATTGCTGTGACAGCTTGAGCCTCTTCTTCACATCTTGAAAGTTGTGTGAGGAGGCCCACATTGGTTGCCTGTCCTGCCTCAGCAACCGGTCGGCCTCTGCTAAGCCGTGGACCCGGGCTGCATCTAGCTCTGACTGCGGGATCGCCTCCCACAGCAGGTTGCTAGTCAGCTTTGCTGTCGCACCCCAGATCAGTGATTTCACCTTGATCGACGCGGCGTATTTGGCCGACGAATAGTGAAAGGCCATTGCACCCACCTCTGGCACCTCGCCCTTGGCTTGCCAGTCACCCAGGGCGGCCATTTCTTCAGGCTTGCATTCCAACAATTGGGCCACAGTGGGTGCGAACCTTCTCCAACTATAGGTGGTCAGGTCTTCAGGATTGTCGAGGAACACGGACATTTCCTGTTGCATCGTTTCTTGAACTTCAAGGATCGTCCAAGGGCGTCCTTCGTCCGAAAAACAAAGACCTGCCAGTCTCTGCCTTGCCGGTGCCAGTGTCCTGTAGGCCTCCAACACCTCCTTGGCCCAAAAGAACCCATTGGCAAAGGTTGCCGGCACTGCAAAGTCGAATCCCTCACGAGCATGCCTTTGTTTGCCTTTGGGGCACCTGCAATGGAGGAATGCAGCGGTGAGGCGTCGAGGCTCTGATCGAGATATATGCGCATACCTCAAACAGCCAAACGCCATGACCCAAGGGGCCAGGAGGACTGACCACCTTTCATCGCCTACCGCATGCAGTTCCATGATGCGGTCCTCCAAGGCCTGCACCAAGGGTGGCTCGACCACAGGGGCCTGCCCACGCTGCCCAGTCGCCCTGGGTGTTGTGGGAACCTGCAAATTGCCCAGCTCAAGATCTTGGTCGGCATTCTTATTCATCCACTTCAAAGCCTGGAGTGCCCGTGCTGGTGCCGCTGTGTGGTTCAGGAACTGGTCAAGGTCGACCATTCCGGGAGGAGCGGGTCGCCCCCGGCTCTCCAAGAAGGTCCTCAGCTCCAACCAAGTGTTGACCACTCTGTCAATGGTGGCCTTCTCAGCGTCCTTCACCTTCTTTTCGGCGATCCTCCTGCACGTCTGCTTCCATTCAGCTTTGAGGGTGTCGGTCAAAATGCCGGCTGGCTTGTAAGCGCCCATGCCAACAAACATTGAAACCACGCCGTTCACCCTCTTCTGGACGGCTTCACTCAGGTTTTTGTCGACATTGATGGCTCTGGGCTTCTTCTTGTAGATCGTCTTGCGCACTGGGCGCAGAGTGACGGAACCCTTGGGGTGGTCCTCCACGACTTTGGCTCCAGCGGCAAGGAGGGTTTCTTCGACCCTTGCTCGCGTCTGCAACCAGTCATCAGCGACATGATGGCCAGCGAGTCCAACGACTTGATCGTAGTCTGTGTAGGCATAGGCAAAGTCATTGTCATCCAGAAGGCCTTCATTCTCCCTCCATTGACGAGCCCTCTGAGCAGCGATCATCATCAAAGAGTCGGCCGCCCTCCATCCTGGTGCAGGGTCACCCCCTGACGAAGATGAGGCTGCCGCCTGAGCTGCGTAGTAGCCTTTTCCGCCTGATGCCATGGCACTGCACCCTAACAGAATTGCTAAGGTGCGGAGAGCAAAAAGATGCTGCGGTGACTCCAGAGGTGCCTCCTCTGTCATAGCATCAACCTTCAGCGAACATCTTCTTACGGCCTCCACAAACTGTGCATGGCTGCCTCCATGTATAGCAGTCACTACACATGCCAACGCAGCAGGCCCAACACACGCGCCTGGTGGGGTCGCCGCACTCCGTGCATGCAGTCCCCAGATGCTGGACTCTGGCTTCTTGGCTTTCCAGCCATCCACAAAGAGCTCGGTGAGCCCTGGCGCCCTCTCTCCCCCATGCCGGCCAGGGTCGCCCCCTGGGGGCCCTGGGGAAGTGACGCGGCTCGAGAAAGATCGGCAGGAGCTCGTGCGGGCCCACACATCGAAGCCAGACCCTCCATTGCTCGAAAAGCTCGCCCAGGCCCAGCTGCCCAGCGTCGCCCGCTGAACATCTGAGCTGGAGTCCATAGAGCTCTTGGGGCACCACGTCATCGGCCACTTTGAAATTCGTGTATGCCGAAACCAGCAGGAGATCCATGGGTTCCTGGTGCTGGTAGTAGTACTCCCAAGCATCCGCAGGCGCCACATCATCAGGCAGCACAACTCCCCGGCTATTCCACAAGCCAAGCCACGGGAACTTGAACCGCCCACATGAGCTGCGCAACGTGGACATCCATCAAGGCAGCAGGGCATTTTCGGCAAGGGGGGAAACAACTCACAGTCCGTCCCAGTAGTGAGAACGTAGGGGGAGTGCAACACCTCGATACCATGCATCCAGCATGTGTATGCTGCTGGGCCCGAGCCCTCCCTTGCCAGCCTCTCCACGTGGTTCTTGAATTCCAAAAACGCAGCCGCATGCAGGATCTTCGCCTCAGTGGCTGCTGGAATATCAATGCCTGGGAGTTTGCGCTGCATACAAGGTCACCCCTTGTGTTGAGTTTGAACCAACCAATCAAGGTCAAGTAAGGTCGCCCCTTACTACGACCGAGAAAGAAAACAGCAATGAATGCTATTTTGGTTCAAGTTTACTTGAGCCAAAATGGTAGCATTCATTGAACACTTGAAGATGATACATGCACACCCAAGCCTGCCAAACTCGATGCATGGGTATATACATATGTGTGTGTGTGCGTGTGTGTGTGTGTGCGTGTGTCCATATCCCAACTTTCAATCCGAAATGAGAATCAAGACCTCACTTTCTAATTCCATACTCATACTCACCATCCCTTGGGGTCTCGTCCAACCCCGCGTTGCGGGGCCTTCCGTGCTGGCGTAGCTCCCAACACTGCAATCTGTACAGCTTGTGGAGCCCATACTTTGAGAAATGGTGCCTGGGTTCAGCTAAAAGATTGGCACACTCCTAACGAAGGTGATTGCACATGTTTGTTCTTTTCCCCAAACCAAACATTGATAAACTGAATGAATTAAAATTGTGTTCTCATCATGTTACGATTTATTTTTGCACAAATGGGTGAGAACAGTTTGGCCAGACTGATGTCATGTTGCGTTACTCCTCGATTTGATTTCTGTATCTTCTCTTCGCCTTTATCAACATGTTTTTGCTTCAATTCTGGAGGTCTTTCTTCAACCAACCTATTGTATAGTATAATCTTCAAGGACTTGTTTTTGGGCGCATTGTCTGAAAGTAATTATCCTGTCTCCTTGTCTTTTGAGGGGACAGGAAAGAATGATTTTGTTCTTGTTCTGCTTTGGAATCGTCAATACCGTAGTTGAAATCGCCGGTGCTTCTTGGTGGGAGATGTTTGGAAATTAAAGTGGAATTTCGATAGGAGTGTGTCTTAGAATGTCTTGTTTGATGGGAACATGATGATAAACCAATGGATTTAGGGATATCCTATTTTCAGTCAAACCATGTCAAACCCATAAACAACTGAGTTCACGGTTCATGATAAATGGGGTAACTTCTATGCTCAGTGAAAAGGAGGAGAAAAAAAACACGCCTGGCTGGCACTTTTGGCAGCTCCCTTGCGCATCTTGGTCATTGAACTCTCCACGCAGACAAGGTGTGCAAAACGAATCACCTGCCACCGGGCGTCAATGCCTGTAAACCCATGTTGCTGTACCCACACTGGCACCATCAGTGGGAAGGACGTAGGTATTTCATGAAGGTTCCCTCAGTACACCAGCACCGAAATCTTGGGCCAGTCATTGGAAAATAGGCATCCTCCCAAAACCTAGGTTCTTACAGCCTCAGGCCCCAAGTCATCTGAACAAAATTCTAGACACGCACATCTATAAATATATATATACATATACATTTGTATATATATATATATAGAGAGAGAGAGGGGAAAAAAAAACTATGCACATACATGCCATACCACACCACACCATTCACACCATTCCATACCATTCCATTACATACATACATCCACACACACATTTAAAATTTATAAATATTTACATATGCAAATATGAGTGTATACATGAATAAGTGCATATTACGTGTGTGTGTGTGTGCGTGTGTAAGTGCATATTCAATATACGTACATATGTTCATATGTATATATATATATATACCTGGATCTTCATATGGTACTTATTTCTGCCGTTGCTCAAAAACACTAGAATTTTTGCCGTTCTTGCCGAAAAATGCCGTTCCTGAAAAAAAAATGCCGTTGTGAGAAATTGTCAGAGCACGTGGTCGGGTATTTTCGCCGTTTGGTCGGGTACTTTCGCCGTTTGGTCGGGCATTTTCGCCGCAGAAAAACGGGTTTGGCATCAATATATCAGAAGAAATTCTGGTCTGCCCAAAAAGGTCGTTTTTATGCAAAACCTATTTATTGAGCAAAAGGCAGAAATTAAGCCCCTTTTGAAGAGGCAGGTATATATATATATATATATCTTATGTGTGTGTGTGTGTGGGTACGTGTGTGTTTATGTATGTGTATATATATATATACAGTACATAATTAAACCCCATTTCCAGACATGCCCGTGTGAAATCTGGGTGTTGTGATTTGCGTGTTGTGAACGCACCTTCCTCTGAAGACTCTCCACGGCTGCATTGGACACAGGCCGACATACCGGTGTTTGCCTTAACAGAACCGATGCAGATGTGTCAGGTAGAAAGTGCTTGGCCGGAGATGTAGCAAGACCTTCTATTGCGATAAGAAGCTGGATCTGGAAACCTTTGAAAATAGCTCCTGGGAACAATCTGCAAATCTGAAAATGATAATCTCATATAGCCCCCTCCAGACTTCAATGGACTCTGACTGTGATGTTAGCTGGTGGGTGAAGTCGTGAAGTCATGCGAATCGAGCCTTATGTCCCAAATCATCGGTGACCATCCCAAGTCATCACCATTTTGGGTGCGGGAAAAAAGCAAACATCCCAAATGGTATGTTTATGGCATGGGGTTTCCCACAATAAACATCAATAAACAACTTTCAGGAACCCAGGAAAGCCATGGAAAGCCTGTGGCATTTTTCCTTCTCAACCACAGCCGAAGTTCCCCGAACGTCCCCGCAGGGCAGAGTTCGCAAACGCGATTGCGGACGTTACTTCCGAATTGGCCTGTCCTGCCTTGGGGCGCCGCTGGGCGTCCGTACCGAAACCACAAAAAACACGTCACATGTTCTTTGCATTTATATAGGTACATAATATGTGTATACAATATATACGGTTAATTATTGATCTACCCATGTGTGTTAGCATACATACGCAAATTGCATATGGCTATATAAATATAAGATGCATGCAAACAGATATACATGTCTCTAGCACAGGGTTCGTTTGTGAGTATGTTATCGAGAGTTATCGAACCATGAGCCATGAAAAAAAACATTTATAAGCAGAAAACCTTCTGTATCCCATCCGATGAGATACTCCTGGGTTGAGAAAGGTATCCCATTAATTAATAGCAATAATAATCACCAATAAACCAGGTAAGTCAGGTAAGTTCATAGTTCCCCTACAAAAACCCATCAACAGTGGTATCATTTGTGGTATCTCCAAATGGCTTACGTTGCAGCTGCGCCGCATTCCGTGCAAACGTCGTCGCCTGCCACGGCGGAGAAGCCGCGGCCACAGTCGAAACATGCCGTGGCCGCCAGGGTGCTGGTCTGTCCGTCCAGGCAAGTGTTGCCTCGGCAACTCGGGACGGGAGGCGTATATTAGTGATTGTGTATGTGTAAGTCTTGGGTATATCTATCGATCCATCCATCCATCCATCCATCCATCTCTTATATCTATATATATATATATATATCGTGTACACAGCTGTCTATGTACCAGTTGAAAAGTGTACATGGGTTGTGTGTGTGTGTATAAGTGTAATTGCGTATACGCACATGCAGAGGAAAAAAACAAACTCTCAGACATCGAAGAGTCAAAGAGGTTCGAGTCTTGGGTTTAGCCCACTGGTAAGTTCCAACAGGCACTAGTGGCAATGACTAGGAGGACCCTCGGACCCTCCAAGTCTTGGAAAATGAAATGGCCCAGTTGCAGCTACTGCTGGCAGCATTGGCTTGATAGGTCCCTTTACTACCTCAGCTGCTGAACTATGGCTGTCAGGACCATCGGACAGTGGGCGTCAGAACTGAGGCCTCCACAATCTGTGCATGAGGATGAGCCTGCTGGGGCATACTGTCCAATCGCACAGGCCGAACAAGAAGTCACCTGCTCCAACCCGCAGTAAAAGAAAAACGTGGAAGAAAGGGTCAAGCCCCAGGTGTGCCAGGATTCAAATGGGTTGGACACAGCTTGGGATGATTTTCCTTCCTTCCTCTCTCGTCTCTGTGACAGCGTGCGGCGAAATAACTAACTTATGAACTATTGGACATGTCCCTTCATGAATCTCTCTTCAAATTCACGGAACTATTGAAACAGAGTGATGGAATGCTTACCTTCATTCTGTTGCCGAGGGTAAGGGTTGCCATTCTTGGTTGTGACCCCCTTGCGCCCCAGCAAAACTTTTCTGGGCTGCAGGCTGGCGCAGCGAAAAGTATGGTTGAGCAACAGCAGATCCACATGATGTTTTATCATCTTTTTTGGGACAACCAACCACCCCCAAAAAGAAATAGAAGATGATTCTTTACCATAAAATGGTGATAGTGATAGCCCTCTTACATCTCTTCTGGCCATCGCTCGGCCTTCTAACTGACAGCTGGAACATGTCATGTGGACTCGCAGCTGCTAAAATCCAGTTCACATCACTGCTACAGACAGGGATGTTCTCTGCACCAAGGCAGGATCTGCCAATACGGACCACTGAACTTGCGTTGGACTTGGCTGCCGGCAATTGTGGGCCGGTGTTTGACAAGCACCCAGAACTGGGGGCAACAAGGAGCTAGGAGCTCACGGGGATTTGCAAATTTTTGCAAATTCATTCACAAGTCGTAGGCGCTTGTCATTGCGAATGTGTCTACGTATATATGTATATACAGCTACATACCTATAATTTCTTCTCTGTTCGTGTGATCATGGGTCCATGAGTCCATTCTTATCAAATTCATCATGTTTTCCTACAAATCCTCAACCATCTGAGGACCATCTGCATCCAAAAGTCAGCAACACTCCAAGGTCAACTCCCTGCAGGAACTTCGGCCATCAGGTGCCGCTTTACCCCGTTGCAATGCGCCGCCCCGAGCACCGCCACCACGGTGCCCCGTTCGCCCGGGGCGGCGCAGGTGCGGCGAATGGACTCCGCCAGGATCAAGTCGCGATCTCGTAACAGAACGCCTGGAGGTGGCGTTGCAACCCCCCGTGAACATCGGTGACCAGGAAAAATCACGACATCATTTGGGTTGGAACCTAACATAACCTAGGGACTTGAACGATAACGATTACGTGATGATTGTAGTTCCTAGTTTAAGTCTCATGTTTTAAGTCCCAACGTAAAAAAATTGAGGTCCAACCAGGTCCAACCACTCTAGACCTGGAGACTTTACAGTTCTTAAGTGTTTTGAGTAGACCGGAAATATGGATGTTGATCTTGATCTGGACATGTGTTTTCCTAAAAAGTCTGGATTGATAGTTATATACTCCAAATCTGATTTAAGCCCAACTTGATCCATCATTCATGGCTTCGTTATTTTAACCATGATTTGTGGTGAGCTCTTTTCCGGCCTCTATAAACTATCCAAACAATTTGTTTGACCGTAGGTCACAGCAAGAATTGAATATGTGGGCGTATGATGCCTCAACATGAATGGTTGAAGTTAGTCGCGCTTCAGTATCCGGAATAAGTAGCCCCCTGAATCATCGAGAAAAGAATAGCAAAAACACATATATATATATACATACATACAGTATATACACATATGATCCAGAGTGGTGAGGCATGTGTTTGCCATCCCAACTGACTGATGGTTCATGTTTTTTCATTTTGAGGCGTTTCGGAAACTTGGTCAAACATGAGCACGCATTTTTGCGTTCAGAAAATTCATGTTTCTGATGGTGGCAAAAATGAAAGTCACCTGTTTCATTCTGATTCCTGAACTCAGCCTCAGCCTCACAGCCATATAGCCTTAGAATGCCTTAGAAGACCCAACACAAACTCCAACCACTAGCCATAAAAAGGAGGTGAACAGAGATTCAAACGAAGATCAAAGCGCACATTTCAAAATGAACATGCAAAATATAGAAACAAAGAAACACACTAGTTTTGACTTGTCTTAGAACAAGGCCAGCTCGGAACTTGCAATGATATACAACAATAATTCTCATAAGTATCAATAAGTAGAAGTACAAAAATTTAGTACAAATAAGTATCACTCACATTCACTCACTAAACCCAGTAAATATATGTAAATATGATTTTCGCTATAAATATCTATAAATATGTGTATTTTGATTTCTTCGTATCAACAGGTTCTGCATCCCAGCGACACAGGATGATCCGCAAGAGCACCATCTCCTCGGGCCAGGTATACATCGGGCTGTAGATGGAAGGTGGGATGTTCAATGCGGCATTATCTTTGAAAATCCCATATTAATTGATATATATATATTGAAAATTATTCCTCAATAAATTGACTTGAAATTTTGACACGTCCATATTCTTTCTATTATTGAGTTATTAATGTCATTATGATCATCTATAGTCTATGCACAATTATACGCATATATGAAATCTTACAGATGTCGGCCACAAAAAAGTAATTCTTCGTGATTCATCTTATGCCTTGCCCCTCGAATCTCCAAACTCGGATGTAGGCGATCCCAGGCGCCACGGCCAGGAAAATCAGGTCGCCCAGGAAGCCCAAGTAGGCCACTAGTGAGGAGAAGATGTATAGCCCCACCACAACGAGAATCAATGTGGGCGCCTGGCACGGTCCACATGGGGGACACCACGTGGGAGCCTGGGGCCAAAAAGCATTCTTGGGACTCAGCAATGACTGGAATCTGCTAGAGTTTCATGGCTGAAGAAAGGAAGATTGAGAACTTGAGGCCAGTTTTTCGGGATAAGATGGGATAAGATTTTCCAGAATCTCGGGAATGAAACCAACAGCCAACAACCACCAGCCGACCTTCAATGCGGTGGATAGCAGGTAGCGCGGCACGGCTACCGCGAACCCTGCGATGAGCTTCGGATCTGCGAAATCCCAAAGTCCCAGTCCAGCACCGCCTGCAGAGCTTGGCTCGTTGGTGAGGTCAAAAAGTATCATCTGGATTCATCTGGCACTTTGATTGGCTTAGCATAATAAATCATAATAATACATGTTATCATCGCTATCATTCTCGTAGTACATAGTAATTTTCAAGCAGTTTGGCAAAGTTCACCAACCTCAAACAAGACCAGTTTCAAAGGCACAACATGAGCTCCAACACAGCGGAGAATAGCTAGGAGAGAAACAACCAAACGGAACGTAACCATCCAAAGTGTATCATTCTAGAGGTTGAAACTTAAAACTATAATAAACTATGAAACAACCATAGTAACTTGGTAGGATTGACTTTTCAATACGTTTCTTCAATGGCCATCTTCGCCCTAAGCCTCCACTGGATTTGCGCTCGAACAGCAGCTGCAGCCCCTGAAGGATCTCGACACCAGTGCGCCACCAGCCATTGGGAGGATCCATCAAATCATCTAGGGCCTGGTGACGCATCGTGTTATGGGCCATGGATGGGCCATCGCTTCCATAGCCAGGAGTTATATGCAATGTCAACCACTAGGCCCAACAAGCAAATGAAGGCAGTTTGACCGCTCTCAACTTCGATTGAAAAACGAGATCCAGAGATCTCTTTAAAAGAGCACTGAATCCTCAGATTTTGGCCCATCTATTAGTACAAACCATACTGGAAATATATGGAAATATACTCGGAAAAAATGGTGATGCTGATGGTCAATCACTAGGCAACCCCTGACTTCCCAGGGTGCAGTTGGGGTTATTAATGGGTATAACTAGGTTTTACAGTAACCATGGTGATACGAGTCCATAGGTTGGGGTATGGGGCGATATAACATCCATTAACATCCTATACCTATGGTGAAAGATATTCACTTCCCACCCAATAATCAAACAAATCCCCCATCTAGTTTGATGATTTTCCCGCCATGTTCGAAAAAACCAAAGGGCCAAAGGGTAGTTCACCGCAATTTCTGGATTTCATGGGGAAAATTGCCATTAATAATATTTTATAATGAGTTTTCCCATGAAACATCGTGATTTTCCCATGAAAAATGGTGAGTTTTCCCATGAAAAATTGTGATTTTCCCATTTAAAAAAAAATGTGATTTTCCTATGAAAAATTGTGATTTTCCTATGAAAAATGGTGATTTCGCCATTCCATTAATCATGACTTGCACCTCCTTCCACGCAATGCCAATCTGTTGGAACAAGTCCTCGATCCGCTGGTCACCCAGCACCACTTCCTTCCCGGCACCTTTGGCTACGTCCTGGTGCACCAGGGTCAATGGGGATAGCATCTACCTGCCTTAATCTGGATGATTAATATGGATGATTAATGGAATATTTGTTGGGGAGTGCCTTGGTCCCTTTCCCGGGGGCCAGAAGCTATTTCTTAAATAAACCTGATTTACAGAAACTATTTCCTAAATCAACCCTAAACTGTGAAACTATTTGAAAATTATGTCTGAAATAAATCAAATTTACAGAAACTATTTCTTAAATCAACCTTAAACTGTGAAACTAATTGAAATTTATGTCTGAAATAAACCGAATTTACAGAAACTATTTCCTAAATCAACCCTAAACTGTGAAATTAATTGAAATTTATGTCTGAAATAAACCGAATTTACAGAAACTATCTTTAAAATCAACGCAATTTTCAGAAACTATGTCTTAAATTAAGCCAATTTTGAAAAACTATTTCTTAAATAAACCCAATCTACAGAAACTATTTCCTAAATAAATCAAATTTTAACAAACTTTTGAAACAATATCCAATAAAGTATACATTAATTAAACAATTTAAGAAGTACTGCAAGGTAGCCCTTCCAGGGGTTGGTTTGAAACGGTTTGAAACGGTTTGAAACGGTTTTGGACTATTACCTAGCAAGTAGCGGGAAACGGTTTGAAACGGTTCCGGACTATTTGCTAATTAGCCATTCTCTGGAACTATTTGAAACTATTCGTAATTTTTGCCAGGGTGAATTAGCGAATTGTGAAACGGTTTCGGACGGTTTCGGGCTATTACCTAGAAAGTAGCGGGAA